GTGAAGGGGGATCACAGCTTAGGCAGCTAAATGATTGGGGGGGAATTAGCAAGACGCAGCACAGAGACATCAAAATGTGTCAATTATGTCTTTCCGTGCTCTAATCCCCCTGGTCAGAATATTTTTTGATGACTTCAGCGTGTTTACAGGTTGAATGGAAGCTGTTTAAAGTGATGATACAGACTTCTGGTCTGCAGGTGAATTTCTCTCCGGCGCTGTGCGTTTTCTTTGTGCTCCAAACCCAGCAAATGCCATTAGAACGTCTGTGTGGTAATACGCCAACAGCCTCCGATCCCTAAACAAATAACACATTTATACTATTCAGCCTGTGTTCCGTGCCACGACTGTCCTTTGCCGCTGACATTCAAATAACCTTTCTTCTGCTGCATAAATGGGAATAAAAAAGTATTGTGTTGTGCGACTTCACATGACAGCAGAGCCCTGGCAGATGAAAAGAGGCAGAATTCTGATTCCAGCTCTTGTTAGGCTGTCGTCTCTCTATAGCTAGATCTGACTGTCATGGGTATCTGTTTAGAGAAGACTCTTTATCAACCGACAGCTGATCTCAAGCGCCAAATGGGAAGTTCATGTAGCAAAATGAATAGCAAGAACATAATGACAGAGGGAACATAGCTTTGTGCGTCTGGTGTCTGAATGTTGACCATGTGTAAATGCTGTTATTAAGAACATTTGCTTTTGTGTAACAGTCCTGAGAGCAGCCACATGACCCTGTCTAAGCTTTTGTTTGGTTTTGTTGCATAAATATTATAAAAGGAGGATGTATGAACACAGTTTGTCTGATGGTAGAAGAATTGTTAATCTGCTCATAACGCTCTGCCCTGTCCAGTTCCTTACATAATCTCTGACATGAGCCCGCTGGCTTGCGTCACTCTGTCATTGACAGCTGTCAACACAACACGACCAACGCACACAAATACACGCACTTACTCACACACACCACCAGAGAAGCAAATGTGTTTTTCTCCTCCGACTGCTTCACATGCTTTCTCTCAGGATGATGTGCATTAGAAATGAGTCGGTTTAAAAAAAAAAAAAAAAAAAAAGGGCTCTGCATAGACAGACAGACAGACATATAGAAGCCTCAATTTCAGACTTCATTTATTGTGCACACCTATCATGAATCATCAGGCCATGAGAAAATGATTTAATGGTCCAATCGAGTAATGGGTTAAGCTCTCAGCATTATGACGGTGGCCTGGGCATGGGTCTGTAATGTAAGGGATAATCTTAATCCTTCAACGTTATGTCAGTAGTCCAAGGGTTCAGCGGGAACAGCCAGGAGATTTTGACTAGTGATTTTCCATGTTTGCACAAGCCTGTAGGATTTTATTTTGTGTTACCAGCATGCTAAATTGAAACAAAATCACTCTAAAGGGTATAAAAAAATTAAGAACAATATCAGGAACTAAGCGATTTTTTTAAATAATCTGATAAGAATAAAGCTCACTTGCAGGTGCAGATAGCAATAGCACTAATTGTTTCTCATCACAAATATATTTCTCAGCTTCACAGTTTCATTATGTCTTGTGAATGACTCCTTATATCTTTGAATGAAGCGGTGCTACATGTGCACTGCATAGGGGGGAAGTGTTCTGTCTGACAGTGTCTGTCTCCCCGACGCTTAATAAAATAAACTATGACAGGGCCCCTGTAAGCTGTTAGTGCACATTTGGCAAATTGTTCTAGGTGTTCACATTTGACTGTCAGTCTCCACGTCTTTGATAACGTGGTGTAGTTTTAGCAGTGAGGTTGATCTCAGGGCTGTGGAGAAGACAGCGAAGGGCACTGGGTGAACATGCAGAGGCCTAGCTGTCCTATTGTACATGTGCTCTGAGTGACACGTCATCCCCTCAAAGGGCCTGCTAGTGTGGTGAATCAGTGTCCTTGAACTGCTCAACCACAGACAGACAAAGAACAAGCTTTAGCATTCGGCTTGACTGTCTCCTCTCTCTGCCATGCCCATTGTCCAAGACACCCACGCCAGACTGCAATGCTGCATACAGGAAATCAGACTTGAGCCGCTGTCCGGCCCTTGTGGTTATGCGCATGGTGCGATTGTGCTGCAGTGTGATTCATACATAATCTTGGCGTCTCAGCAGGTGTCTTTGAAGTGGCCTGCGTGCAGAGGCCATCTCGCAGTGCTGTGAGGCAGCGTCAGGCTGCTGGGATGGGTTTTAGCATGGCTGCCCGTCTAACTGTGCCTGGCTTTGATGTCGTAAACAGAGCAGGCAGTGCTGGCTGGCAGGGAAGCGGGCAGGCAGGGAGGCAGGGAGGCAGGCAGGCAGGCAGGCAGGCAGGCAGGCAGGCGCGGTGAATGGGATCAGTGGCACTGCGCTGGTCAAGCTCAAGCGAGCCAGCAGCTGCCTGTTTCACACCAAGAGGCAGTTAACACCGCAGCTCATGTCAATAGATATTGACTGCCAGATTGGGAGTGCTTATAAGCGCAGGCCTTTTTTGTTTGACTGACTCTCCTGTGTGAATTCAGTTTAAATCATCCTCAGTGTCTAATGCGTAGCTTAGGGGCCCCATGACCAGTCACTCAAGAGTACAACTTGCATAGTCATACAGACATACAAATATTGACTTAGGCTGAGGGTGTAGGTGACTTCATGGTGTATTTGGTCTCCATTGTGTCAGTGCTGGGGTTTCATTCTCCTTGACCCCGCTCTCCACATCTTTTTGAAAGCAGCTTATCCCAGTGTGGAAATTACTATATGTTCAGACTGAGGTCTTTTCTCATACAAGAAACTACAGAGCCTGCCTCAGCCGGTCCAGAGACAAACCCTTTTTACTGTTGAGTGCACTGAGCATCCAGGGGCTTGTGCAGCAGTGGAGTGAGAGGGTGTTAGCTGGTGAGGCTGTGTGCACTCAGGGCCTTCCTGCTGCAGATAGGGCTTTGTGAGGCATGCTCGTGTATGTGTATGCCCTGCCCGGCCTGGCACCCCCGCGTCTCTACTCCCACTGCTTTCACCTGATGTGGCACAGCCTCTGTCAGGCCTGAGCGAGCGCCTAGCCAGCTCCGCTTCTTCAGGAGAGATGAAGGCATCTCACAGCTATGCTGTGGGGGTGGGGGAAGCTAGCAGCAGCCTAAGCCTGGAGCTATCAGAGGCTGGAGCTCAGAGCCAAAAGCCTGTGGGCTGGATAGGGTGGGTGGAAGCTTGGCTTAACTTGGCAAGACAACCATAGCCACAGCCCTGCACTGCCACCCAATGGCTGGGGCCTGTCACTACAACCTTTAGTTCACCATAACTACAGCTAGTCATAATTACAGCACGCTTCAGTTGTTGTGAGTGCATGTCAGAACAAATTATGTAAGTAATGAGGCTGAAAACGCTATAGGAGTCGAAACACACTGCACTGCTAATGCTCATGCAGGGAGAACACAAAAACAAACAATAGAGTGCACTCATACAGAGATAGACCTAACCGAAATAACAAGCAACTGTGCACAGTAAGGAAAAGATTAATTATAAATTAACCCTCTCAGTTAGGTTGTCAGAGCCCGCCTCCTGCCTGGATTTCACTCTAATCCGGGCCGACGAGGTGCAGTGCCCTCTATTGTATGTGAGAATCACAAATCGCAGGAGGTGTTATCTGGAGGAGAATTAATTGTGCATGTTTCACCACTCCCTTTTGTTCATTTTACTAAAATGTAGGCTAATTCCATGTAAACATGGCCGGTCTTGTTGACTCCAGCAGCGCGAGGAGAACAGACACAGATTCCTGAATGAATAGAGTGTGGCTCCGGGGTTAGTGGATTAGAGGCTCTGTGTTAAGGGCCTCTCCCGGGCATGCCTCAGGGACAAGGACATTATCCACATGACACATTACAAGCTCCTAGGCAGATGATTAAAATGGGCAGGGATCTCCGGATTGAACCTTTGCAGAAGTACTTTTGATGTGATCAAACTAGTTTAAAGAGGTTGGTTGTTAAGGTGTACAAGGGATATTTGAAGCTTCTAGTCTTGGTAAGAGACAGTTAGGCCTGGCTAGAGGGGAGAGGCTGATGTAACACTTTGACATAGCGAGTGTACCACCACTTTTTTAATTATTATAATTTTTATTGCATCTTATTAAGGCAAAAATCATAATATTCCTCTGCTAATTGGTATAGACTTGTGTTGCAATAGCTCCACGTGCTCTCATTGGCTGGCTGCATGGCTGGTTGGAGAAAACCATTACATTGTGAGGAAATATCCCGCGGTGATCTTTCCTCGATTTAGATCAGATAGCGGAGTTCGTCTGGCACTGCAGTGCACTGTTGGGATGGTGGGACTGAGATGTTGGAGATGTGGAGGAGGGCTGTGAGATAGATATCTCTGGAGGGAGGTTGGGGGGGAGACAGAGGGGGGGAGGTAGAGGTGGAGAGGGATGTAGCATCAGTGGCTGCAGTGATAAAGCTCAGAGCAAGGGGACGAGCTGGGAGTTCTATGTCTCTGATGTCTGTGTGTTCTGTTGTGTTGCCCTGTGGTCCGCTCCTGAAGAGAAGGCCAACGATGGATGAGGCCTGTCCTCTCTGCGCTTTTGTCCTCTATGGCGGGTGAATCACACGCCTGTCAACGGCACAACACCACAGCCGCCGAGCCCTTTTTCCTGTAGATGCACACAGTCGCTGCCACCGCTCCGTCCAGGCACAGTGTTATGATTCTTTGTGGCCGCAGTGGATTTACTCCCGAGGTTTTTATGGTTTTGAAGTTTAAGAGGCTTCATGAAGTCAAGTTTTCCAACGGCGAAAATGTCTCCTCATGTGGCTAAATGAGCCTTTGTCATTGCACAAGGCTAGTATTAGTACTACTGTGCAGTATTAGGGTTTGTGGTGAGCTGGGTTTTTCCTTATGTAAGTTGTGTTTAGGATGCAAATTGACACCATGTTTACATTGGCTGCTTGTGAGGACTTAAAATGGCCTCCTTACACACACACACACACACACACACACAACTCTGTAAATATTCAGCTAATGCTCTGTGGAAGTGAGGATTCAAAAGCCACCGGATGAGATGTTTTTAGAAGCACAGTGCTCTTTCATGTAACAACATGGATCCATGGTGAGGGTGTTGTACAGTGACTTGTGACAGCAAAATGTTGATTTTTTTTATTTCTTTCATTCCCTTTTCTTCTCTGCAGCTCAAATCGAAATAATTCCCTGCAAGATCTGTGGAGACAAATCATCAGGCATCCATTATGGCGTGATAACATGTGAAGGCTGTAAGGTAAGCATCAAGAGACTGAACCTGTTTGTGTCATGGGAAGTAGTGTTTGTGTGTGAGTGTGTGTATGTGTGTGTGAGAGGGACAGGAGAGCTGATAGGGGAGAGACGGGGGGGAAAATTGAGGAGGTAAAGAAAGTTGCTTGCTAGGAAAAACGTTTGAAAATGTTGCTGAAGTTTTACGACGATTTGGAGAGGGACTGCGAAGTGTAAACACACGGAGCATGATCATTAAAGTGGTCAAGCACCACAGAGGACATCACAGAAAACCACAATTAGTAGGACAAAGTCATCCCTCTGCCTTGCTCTGCCTTTCCCTCCCAGGGACATGTCTTTTCACTGTGTTTTTTGCTTCTGCTGCAGCCTGCTCTTCTTGAAATAAAATGATCAAAAGGAGAGTGCTTTGAATTATAGCAGATTGTTGGCTGTTTGCTACAGTGTTGCTTCCATTGAAGCCGCCTTTTGTACTGTTTCAAATGCACCAGCCATTCACAGTGAGGGGAATTTTGTGCTTAGAGTGTATTCTTGTCCCTGTGCTTGTCACCAGGCACATCATTAGCATTCCTCAGCCAGCCTGCACCTTTGCTGTTTGCTCCTGCGTGTGTGCGTGTGTGTGTGTGTGTGTGTGTGTGTGTGTGTTAAGGAGAGAGAGAGAGAGAGAGAGAGAGAGAGAGAGAGAGAGAGAGAGAGAGAGAGCTCCTGTTCTTCCCAGTACTCCTCTCCCTCACACAGGAGCTGGAAGGAACAAAACACTAAAGAATAAACTGCTGAAATCTATCTTTAATGATTGCTAATTAGTCCAAGGCAGAGAGGCCTTTAATGATATGTGCGAGTACAAAAGTTTGCACCATAAATCATAGCATTATTAAAGAGTGCTGCTTGTCACTGGCAGTTATAGCCTGTTTCCATAATGGCTTCCATTATAAAGCAACTTGGCAGCTGTCAGCTGTTTTCTTGTAATTAAACAGCCAATGAGCAGCTAATTAAGACATATGTGTATGGAGCAGTAGAGTGGGGCATGTTAATGATGTGCTGGAATCAATTCATTAAGTCAAAGGATGAGGAATCCAGTCGGTGTGCATTCGCAATCCTTTAGCACTGCACATGCCGGTGCTGCGTTAATCAACACTAATAACCCCAGTGAAGAAAAATACCATCCACTGTTATCATTCCTACCCAAACACACCACCCTCATGCTGTACACACTGCTGAAATACAGCGCTGTGTGAATGCCAGATATTACAGTGTAACAGCCAGGAAAATACCATCGCAGCAGTGTTATTATCTAATCTATTTTGGCAGCAGTAAAATAAAAATATCACCACTAGGAATACAGTAAATCACTATCAATCAGTAATGAATTTTGTCAGCACTGAAACGCCATGAAGACATGAATTGATCCTTCAGTCCCAGGACATTTTTCCACTCACTGTGGTTCACACAGTAACCCGAGGTGTTTCCGTGCCCCTTTCCTGTGCAGGGCTTCTTCAGGAGGAGTCAGCAGAGCAATGCAGCCTACTCCTGCCCCCGTCAGAAGAACTGCCTGATCGACCGTACCAGCCGCAACCGCTGCCAGCACTGCCGGCTGCAGAAGTGCCTGGCAGTGGGCATGTCACGAGATGGTAAGTGCTTGATGGGAGAGGTGGGCGGATGCGGCAGGGTGGCATGGTGAGTAGGGAGAGGTGAAGAGCCCAGGTTCAAGCCCCTGTGTGGGCAAGAATCTGCTCTTCTGAAGTGCCTTTGAACCAGTGCTTCAGGGATGCGGCTCTGGACTCTGACCAGAGCTTACTGGTAGTGTATATTTAGGGCTCATTATTTATTACAAAAAACAGTCCATTGCTTTGAATTTAAATGAGCTGTATGGGACATTAAGAACATTAATATAGCAGCCAACAACTACTTGCTATGTAAAGATATAGTGGATTAATGGCATCCTGAGCAGAGAGTAAAGTCATGCTACCTGTGTGTGTGTGTGTGTGTGTGTGTGTGTGTGTGTGTGTGTGTGTGTGTGTGTGTGTGTGTTGTAATCCAAACTTCTCTGTTAGTTGTTCTGGTCTGGTGTCCTCATACAATTGTTTATTTGATATGTAATAAATTTGCACCCAGCAAATTAGCACCCCCACTGATTAGGTCAGGTTTAGGAAAAGAATCATGGTTGATGTTGCCACGTTACGCAGGTTAGGCTTAGGAAGAGAAACATTATTAGGTGTCGTCATGTTACATACTTAGCGTAAAGTCATGTTTGTTAGGTTTAGGGATGCAAAGTTACATAGGTTAGGTTTAGGAAAAGAAACATTGTTTGGAGTCGTCATGTTACGTACTTAAGCTAAAGTTACATGCTTAACGCAACGTGGCAACATACCTTATAATGACTCAGTGTTTTGTTGGTTTCACCAGGACACAAACACAGGTCTCTTGGGGGAAAGTCCTAGGTTTGTTTGACCAATCCACCACCCCAACCTACTTTCTTACACAGATTTGTGCTCTTTACATTACATCCTTCTTTACACCCGACGTGCATTTATCATGTTATCGTAGCCTTAACGATTAGTTATACAAATTGCTAGTTCATGATTACGATGATCATTATACGAATTCTGGTGCGCTAATTTCATGACTGCACTGCTTGTACAAATACCTATGGAAATGCACAGTCATGTGGTAGATAATCTGGCTATATATGCATGTGAGTGCCTGTGAATGCATCCACTGGCTAGCTTATCGCCACCACCCTACACTGCGCTCATATGGTGGTTACCATTGATAATGGAATGGCATTGTCTGCAAAGTGTGGTGGCCCCCCTCCGATATTTCCTCTGGTTAACAATGTTAGCTCTAGGCCCGTTTCCACCGCAGGAACTTCGGGGTAATTTTACGGGGCCGGGGCCGTTGGTGCGTGTCTCCAAAGCAAGAACCACCCCAAAAGGACAGAGTTCCAGAACTTTTACAGGGGCTAAACAAGTCCCTGCCTCGGGGTAGGTACTCAGAACGGCCCCGAAAGACTCCTGGCTGGGGCTTGGGGATTACTTGGTGCTGATTGGATATACTCAAGGAGGGATGTGATGTGAACAAAAAGCTACAAAATAGCTGGCATTTTTAAAACTCAGCCGACGAGGGTTAGCTTGTTCATATAGCTTCCGCCGACATGTAAAAAAAACTCACTAAATGGCCCGTGAAAAAAATATTTTTTTCTTAGTTACAACATGATTGAGCTAGCAAAGCAGTTTTGTGTTGCTATGTGTGGTATTTATTCAGTTATGGGAAGTCACAATGTCTAGAAAGCATCAGTAGTGGCTGCAGCTGACAGGGACAGCTCACAACAGCATCTGTTAAAAGCCTCCCGTTGTCGGATACGACATGAAACTACTCCAGTTAGCTCAATCATGTTGTAACTAAGACATCCGCTGGAAAAAATATTTTTTTCACGGGCCATTTACTGAGTTATTACAGACACCGCTATCGGCTTACAGCTAACAACGTCCCTACGTCGCCCCGGTCAAAATGGTCGCGCAACAATTACGTCACATCCAGAGCCCGTAATTTTACAGGAACCTTCCTCGTACTCCGCTCTCTCAGTGGAGACACAGCGGTTGAGAGAGCCAGGAACTTCTTCAGTGGAAACGGGCCTTCTGTCAGCACTGTTGCCATTGTTAGCACTGATTATGGAGTTAACACTGTTAGCTTTTCCACTTCTATGGTGAGAACTGTGTGTAGACAATCCTGCCCCAGACTGAGTCAGAGATATGCTCTGAATATAGCATACAGCTTCTTTAAAAGACTGAGTGTAGACTGCATAAAAAAATCAATTACACAAACATCCTTGCGCCCAGGTAGGAATCAGAGTATTTTTCAGTGGAGAAAAAAAAAAAAAAACACACCGTTAGTTGTTTAAGTTGAAGTTGTTCATCATATTGATATTGTACTGTATACTGATATTTCGGTTTAGAGACAAAGAAAACACACACACTCACACAGATAATGACTGCCATTATTCTCAAAGAGACACAGCAGACATATCCCAAGAAAATGGTGACATGAACACATGCTAAGACGCCAGTCTGTGTTCATTGTCTGCCAGTAGCAGGTGAGTGCTTTGTCTGTGGGACTAATTTGTTGCTGTGATAGAAACTAGGTTTGATGAAATAGGAGGTTGTTAGAGGTTGTCATTAGTGCTGCTGCAGCTGAGATGCTGTAATGGGAGCACACAGGTGGGAATGTGCGCTGGAGGGCTCCTGCTGTGCCAGGCTGGTCCAGACTGGACTGGTCCAGACTGGGATGAGCTGAGCAGATTATGTCAGAACAAAGCAGATCTATGATGGAGTTTTTTTGTTGAACACACACACACAGGAATTCACACAGACAAGAGAAAACCTGAACATGAATGCACAGAAGCATACATATCTGTATGCACACTGCATTACTTAAACTCAGACACACACATGCATACATATTCATGAAAGTGAATGAACACAGAAGTACATTAGCACTTATGAGTGCCTTTGCATAGCCAGACGCACACACACACATATATATACACACACTTAGGACGGACGAAGGTGACTCTTGCCTTCACTCAACACACCAGAGCCCATCTGCCCGCACTCTCCTCCTCGCCGCTCCACTCGCTTTCCACTGTGCGTAGACAAACACACACACAGACACACATATACACACACTGTGACCGTCTGACATACTGCCAGGCCCCCAGAACTCTGGCCAAGGAGTCTCATTCTCAGCAACATTGTTTAGTCTGGAAACCTTGAAACAGGAGGCAGCAACTTAGCCTGTCTCATGTTTGAGTGGCTGGTAAGCTGTTAGTCACTTCCCACTTCTGCCTGTGTATTTATGAGGCTGTTCATTTTTGTAATAATCTCTGTCATAACTGATCCCTCCTGAAATATGGAGATTTGCTTTTTTTTTTCATCAGTGTTATCTGTTAAGAGTATAGCACTTGTAATGTAATGTACTGTACATCAGTACATGGGAGTGTGATGCTAATAGCCGGCATCTTTTGGTTTAATAGTAACGCACAACTTTAACATAGATTAGTGCTGTATTGCCGTGTCAGGGGAGGGCACTGATTCAAAAATGATCTTTGAATGTGGTACACAATTTATAGCAAGTAGGGAAGTAATGTGCCCCAAAAATCCCCAATTCAATCCTTTCCTCTCGTCTAAACAAGTCTCAGACGGCAAGATTTAGTTATTTCGTTAAAGGAATCAGAATTTAGCCAGCAGTAAGAGAGATAATACAGTTTGTTCTCAGACCACTTCCACTGTTTCAGGCATTTCCTAGACATGACTGTCAGTATCTAGCAAACTGTTGAAATAAGCCTTTTATGTTGGTAATCCACCCCACTGGTAAGATTATTTTACTTATTGAAGAGTAAAATGTTAAGACTCAACAATAAAATGAACAAAAATGCTCAGTAAAATGGCAATAGCATTTTAAAGGATGTATAATTTGAGCACAGGTTGATTGTTTGTGGTGTTTCACTTGATTCTCACGTTTTTGTCCTGTTATTCACAGCGGTGAAGTTCGGCCGCATGTCCAAGAAGCAGCGAGACAGCCTGTACGCTGAGGTCCAGAAGCACCGGCTGCAGCAGCAGCAGCGTGACCACCAACAACAGCCTGGAGAGGCGGAGCCACTCACACCTAGCTATGGCCTCTCAGCCAATGGCCTCACAGAGCTCCATGACGACCTCAGCGGCTACATGGATGGTCACACCCCTGATGGCAGCAAACCAGACTCGGCGGTCAGCAGCTTCTACCTGGACATCCAGCCATCTCCTGACCAGTCAGGCCTGGACATCAACGGCATCAAGCCGGAGCCCATCTGCGACTTTGCCCCCGGCTCTGGCTTCTTCCCTTACTGCTCCTTCACCAACGGAGAAACCTCCCCCACCGTGTCCATGGCTGAACTAGGTAAGGAGCAGGAGAGAGACAGGGGGAGACGAGAGGAGAGACAGCAAAATGGAGGAGGGGGGAGAACAACTCAACCGTGGGGCAAACGACACAAAGGTTGCTTAAAATAGCAGGAGGTTGGAGACTCATCTCCAACACTCATTAAAAGAGCCTCTTTTTTGTAATTAGTTTCCATTAATTAGGGCCAATCAGGATCCAGCAGGGCAGGCGTCTGGGGAAATCATTTTTTTAGGCTCCCCTGTGCCTAGGAACTCCTTTTAACAGATGTGTTTTCAAAACCATTTAAATACTTATACTCAATATTTCTCTCAGAGAAAATGTGACCTTTGTTTCAGTGAGTAACGTGGCGCCCCTCCTCCTCTCCATGCATTTGTGTCATAACTAGATTGGCTTTGCCTCAACCTTAAGTTATGAGCTTCCTGCAGGCAGTAAAAGGAAATGTCAACAAGCCTTTTCCCAGTCAAAAAAGCCCACGCGTATCCGCCTCTCCTCCTTTTTGAAAGCTCGGTAAATAAATCTTCTTTTCCTGTGGCATATTTCATCAGCAGGGTCTTCACTTTCACATAGCTCTGTGAGTAACATTCAGATCTCAGCTGTGATCTTCTGTGTTTGTGACGATGCTACGATGGTTTGTGTTGCAGAGCACCTGGCCCAGAACATCTCCAAGTCACACATGGAGACATGTCAGTATCTGAGGGAGGAGCTGCAGCAGATGACCTGGCAGGCCTTCCTGCAGGAGGAGGTGGAGAGCTACCAGAGCAAGGTACCTCGACCACAGCCGGGCCTGTGCTGGCCTCCGCAGCACTTACAGCAATCAAATCCATTGTTTTAAAGCAGATAACCCATTCTCTGTCCTATCTGTTCTTAGCCCCGGGAAGTCATGTGGCAGCTGTGCGCTATCAAAATAACAGAGGCCATTCAGTATGTGGTGGAGTTCGCCAAGCGCATCGACGGCTTCATGGAGCTGTGTCAGAACGATCAGATAGTGCTGCTGAAAGCAGGTATGACAGCCTGTCAACATGGCCTGCTGCCGTCAAACTCACCCACCACCACCACCACCACAACCACCACCACCCCCCTCTGGCATTGTCACAAGGGCGTAGCTGACCTGACTGCACAAAGCCCTCTTCTTCACACGCACAGACAGTGTCACAGAGAGAAGACCCCACCCTGCCTGTTTCCTCTCTCTGTCTCTGTCGCTCTCTGTTTTCTACTGTTCATTACATACATAGCAGCGATGGACACAGCGTTAGATAAGCAACGTGTTCCCGAGCTCAGATAATACCTATCGTGACGGCTGCCATTCCCCTCTCTTTCCTCAGACACCGATGATGTCTGCTTATTCAGACTGCTCTCATGAAGACATACTTGCAGAATATTAAATGCAGCGATGGCTCTCTGCACACTGTCACCTATATTTACTCATAAATACAGATGTTCAAACGCGCAGATACAAACATACCGCACATGCGGCAAACAAACACCTCCCCTGGGTCTCTCCCTGAGTATTATTTACATTAGCACAGCCAATATGAATAATGAAATAAAGACTGAGATCCCTTGTCAGACATGACATTTTAAAACAGTAGCATCTCCCTTAGAGGCAGTAATGGCTTCTGTTACATTTTCTTGATCCTCTTATCCACTCCCACAGAGTGGTACAAAATTGCAGGATAGAATAAATTCCCTACCTATCTTGCTAAATAAAGGTTGAATGAATAAGCACTGTCACTACTGAATGAAGCGCAATTTTTATCTGGCATGTCATTATAGAAGAATAGCCTCCTGTCTATGATATTATCATCTGCAGAGGTGTTTTTTTCCCCCCCTCTCTCCCTCTGACGGCAGGCTTCTTTATTTCAAAGTGGTTGTGTTACTCATATTGTAGAAGAATAGCACAAAGCACAATCATGTGTTTTGCATCCCTTACTGATGTGTAACTGTTAGGAAGAAAAAAAAAAAGAAAAGAAACAACACTCAGATTCAGCATCTTGTTCCTGTCTGTCTCCACAGGCTCTTTGGAAGTTGTGTTTGTCAGAATGTGCCGTGCCTTTGACTCGCAAAACAACACAGTCTATTTTGATGGAAAGTATGCCGGACCTGATGTGTTCAAGTCATTAGGTAAGTGGAGTGTGTGTGTGTGTGTGTTGTGAGTAGGTGTGTGCATGTTTGAATGAGTTTGCACGCGTGTATTTGTATGCCGCTGTGTTTGTGTGTGTTTCTTACAGTGTCTCACTCCTTCCCTTGGTGTAATAGCCAAAATTAGAGTCTGCTGTTCTGTTCTACACAACGCTGAAGGGCTGGAAGCAAACACTGAGCACTCATCCCTGCCTCACCTGGCATTGCTGTCTCTGCAATGGTTATTTATGGTAGAACAGAGATGTTAGTGAGGCTCTGCTGCATATGGCTCCTGTAACTGTGGAATAAATAAAGCCAGACGGAGTGTCTTTAGGGAGAGCGCTATCAAAACCATCATTGATAGTCTGATATAAAACATCTCAGGCAAAAGCAAATAGCATTCGTGTTTGACTGCCATGACATTAGTAAGACTCTCCACCGTGGATTTTCCTCACATTTCCAACTGCCTTTTGACGGAAAAAATGTAAATGCGTCCCATGGTGGCGGTAAAAAAAAAATGCTGAATTCTATTTCTTGGTGTGTAAGTTTGCCATCCCTTGTAACTCCCTGTTTGTGTGTGTGTATGCGAGTGAGCATGTGTATCTGTCCCAGCTTCGAGAGTCCCAGTGTCCTGTGTGTTCTGTGCAGAGGGGTCCGCGGCGGGGGAGGCAGAGTGATGGGCTTCCCGAGCCGCGGTGGCATCCGCCTGTCTCTCTCTATCCCTGATAATTGATTTAACTAAAAGCCTCAATAGTGACCTCATTTTGGCTTGCATAACACCACCCAACTGCCAAAAGTGACTCGTCTGGGAGGCAAAACTCAGTAAAAGCATTGCCTGTTCTGCTTAAGACGCTCCCATGTGCTGTCAGCATGCCGCTCTTTTTCATTCCTTCCCCTTCCTCTCCCCTCCCTGTGTGCCTCTCTCCCAATAAAGATCAAGAGTGAATGTTGTTCTTTGGTCTTCCTCATCCTAAGCCCTCTCTCTCTGTGTCCTTTGCTGTGGCAGGCTGTGACGACTTGATCAGCTCCGTCTTCGAGTTTGGGAAAAACTTGTGTTCTATGCACCTGTCTGAGGATGAGATCGCCCTGTTCTCCGCCTTTGTGTTGATGTCTGCTGGTAGGTGTCACTCACAGTGCAAAGAGAAAAAAAAAGGGGGGGGGGAGACGCACATTCACCACGACAGGAAACGCGGTTGCCCTCCTGTTTTTCTCTGTCAATTAGTATCTTTTATTAGTGGCACTGCATCATTTCCTTGTCACACGAGCAAGACTGTAAGAAGCGTGTGTGGTGTTTCCCGTGACAAAAACTTGTCATCATTTACCTTCCAGACCGGTCTTGGCTCCAGGAGAAAGTGAAGGTGGAGAAACTCCAGCAGAAGATCCAACTGGCCCTCCAGCACGTCCTGCAGAAGAACCACAGAGAGGATGGTATTCTTACAAAGGTACAGTGCGATGCCGAACACACTCCATCCATTATCCCTGAAAGTGGCTGTCTTGCTAAGCATGCTCTACCCTTGTAGCGCTGTAATCTCCCACTGTTTAGGATCTTTATCCACAGGCCATCAACCATTTTTTAGTGCATTAGATTAAACTAACACACATTTCAGGGGAAGCATTCATAATGTTACATGAAATGCCTTTTTATCAGCAGAGAAGTGGCAATTTATCAATTGTACCAGCTCCATAATATGAAGTGTCAAGTTTTCCTCGTGCCTGAGCGCTTGTCTCAATATTTACAAGTCTGTTTGCCCCTGTGTGAGAGGGAATACACTGTAGGGAGGAATGTTTTTCGCTACCATTGCTCCATGTCCTTGCCTCCCTGTGAATCTAAACAGCCTGTCTCCTCTCTCTCCACAGTTGATATGCAAAGTGTCGACACTGCGAGCGCTGTGCAGTAGGCATACAGAGAAGCTTACAGCTTTCAAAGCAATATACCCAGACATTGTGCGTGCCCACTTCCCCCCCTTATACAAGGAGCTGTTCGGATCAGACTTTGAGCAGTCCATGCCCGTTGACGGGTAGCAGCCCTGCCAGGTGCCAGTGTGCCCACCGTAGGGGAATGTGGAGGAGGAATCTGAGACACTTTATTGGTGCCCTGCACAAACCAGAGCGGACAGATGGCACGCTGTTCAACTTCTTCTTTTACATCGGAGGGGAGGGCTTAGAGAGTTGATTCTCAAGGTTTACTTTATTGAATTTTAGTTCTCTTTTGGAAGACTTGTGGGACCCGACACCCCATGGGACACGAAGAGGAGATAGGGACAAATAATTTCTGTCTGGTTGAACTTGGCCCTCTTTTGCGCATTTCTAACATGGAAATTAATGTCATCCCTTAATGTTCACCAGTATTTATTGCATCATTGCATTATAATGATTCATCTGTGTATCTGACTTGTAATTGTACAAACAATTACTGAGTCAATTACAGATTAAAATAGCTGAAATCTGCATCGGTATTATAATTTTTTTCAAATTACATTCCCAAAACAGTATTGTCACATTAAAAACATTCAACACTTTTACCCCTGATATTCCCAAACAGCTGACAAATGCGCACACTTTGGTCAAGTTCAGCCCCTTTTTTCTCTTGTGTTCAGTCGTATCTTTTTGGACGCAATTCTTGGAATGAAAACTCACAGCGACTTTGAGGGAGGGTCTGTCGGCATGGTGATGCAAATCGGCACCTCTCTGTGGACAATCGTTTAAAAAAAAAAAAAAAGGAACATAGAATTCTGGTAATTCTAATGACAAACGCAATGATTTTAGCTGTCAAAGACTCCATCCACCATTGTTGCATAGTGAAATCATGTAAGGCCATCTGCTATTAATCCTTCTCTGGACAGGTGCCCTGGAGAAGCACGGGGCACCAACACAATGAAAAGGGTCCATTCCACCTGTTTTATAATGTACTACAGGGTATATGGTCATAAGTACTTACTATACAGAAAAAAAGTAATGTTTATAGAATCTATTTTAAATAACATGTATGATATTAGTAGTTAGACCATTCTTAATTGTTGAATTGATAAGGCACTTTTATTTACACCTTTCCTTTAATTTAAGACTTGTATATTTACCTAGTGATGTGTTGCATGTGCACAAGAAATACAAGTTGAACCATGGTCACAGAGGCTAGTCCTGGGAGCTGCGGATGATACTGGTCTGGAAGTGCAAGGGCTGTCTGTTAGGATTTGCTGGTGAGGCTGCTGGTTGGAGAACAAAGAGGCGTGCATGAGAAGGCAGGTTAGAGGAGCTCCGTCACCTGTTACCTCAACAACCGCCTGCACGACACCTGTCAAAATGTAGCTTTGAAGCTCCTTTTAGCGAGAACGCACACAGCCGACAAACCTTGTAGTGACGTTGCAGTCTCGTGGCTTTCTTGATCTTTTGTTGTGTAAAAATACAAGGAAACTGACATATTGCACGGTGAGACATTTGCGACACATTGGCTTTTATATTTTTTTATAAGACTCACTACATATTTGGTACTAATTTTACTTTGAAAAACCTTTCGTGTTATGTTAAGAAAGCCACAGTGAAACATAAAAATCAAACGTTTCCCCAGCCAGGCCTCACAAATCAACGTTGAATAGCCGTATGGCCGGGCTGTGAAGAGCCACACACACGTAGACTGTAATCCAATTGTTCCATCTAGTGGAAGGTAAAGAAACAACAAGCAAGCTAACAGCCTAATGACAAAGACACAAGGTCTAACCTTAAAGCACACTCGCGAGCCTCTGTCAAAGTGTTTCTTTTGAGTGACTTTATCTTGCCTTCTCACCACAGCCTCAGCAACGCCACAACAGGATACAGAAGGAACAGTGAAGGGAAAGTGAATATTCAAAGCCTTGTCTGGTATTAAAGCTTCTATTTTTGTAACATGTTTTGGTTAATAAACTCATGAAAGAGAACGAGGGAGAGAAAAAGATGTCAGGTAGCACTTAACTATATTCCTGCAATAATTAGACTAGCTGTTGTTTGTATGATTAGGGGAGAAACATAAAAATGGTAGGACAAGTGCTATTTTCAGAATGCTTTGTTGTTGTGCTTCTGTTTTGTTGAGTGTGTCTTTCTTGTCAGTGTGGTAGTAAAGTGGTAGAAAAAAAAACAAAAAAACCCTGGATGTGCCAAACAGTAGTCGTTGCTTCCGCTTTTTCCAGTCTACTCGTCTATAACGTAGAATGGATTCCTAAGACATTCCAGCAATCTCAGTAGCGGCTTCTAGAAATATCTTTAAACAAAAAAAGAGCAAAAAGAAGAAAAAGAAAAGACGAAAAAATGATATCCCTTTAGAAACCCAACAAAGCATGTTGATACATCTGTCACCATCCGTAACATAGAATCCAGTTGTATGTCTTTTGTTTTCTGTTTGCACACTATCATTCCTCTGCCGTGCAATTTGTACGAGGCGTTAATGCCTCGTGCTGTCACCCCTCAGGGAAGAGTTTCTTTTGCGCTTTCTGTTTGAGAGGACATTTGTCTGTACTCAATAGGTTTAGTTTGTGTTTTTTCTTTTTGTCAGGGATGTTCCATGAGACGTGGTTGAGATTAACATTTGAATATTCATCAGAATTTTACATTATGGATGTCCTTAACGGGGCCCCCAAGCCACTCAAAGATCACTGCGCCCCTACGGTCAAGAGAATTTCATTTGTTTAAAAGAAAAAACAAAGCCCATCACTTTTACAAACCACAGTTTTATCAGCACACAGCATATTCCTGTCACACACACAAACAAAAAAAATCTGTTTTGGTTTTAAAACGGTGTCATCAGGGTCTTTAAAAATGATAACCCTCTTTGTTAGAAAAACCAAATATTCTTATGCAATACTAAATCTGTTGTGTTTGGGTTGTAGTAGATATGCTGTACCTAAGTAATAATCTCTGTTATGATCCAATGCTATTTTGGATATGCACAAGCCCTCTACGACTAGTAAACCTCAGTCTCCCAGCAAAAGAAAAACCCAGTCTGGAACACTGCTAGACAATCCAGGTTGAGAGGGCCCAGTGGCCCCCCGGCGAGAGCAGCGAAAAGAGGATGAGGTGTGAACGCTCAGGGAGGTAACAGGTAGACCGAAGAAGCAGCTCGCTTTCCTCTGGACAGTTGCATTTGATTATGTGAATTTATGAGGTCTTTAAAAAAGGAAAAAAAAAATCTCTTCAAAGCACTCGATTAATACGAAGAGGTGGCGTAGCACACTGAACACGCAGTTCAGCACTTACTGTTCAGAAAATAATTAAGAAAAGATGGAGGTTTGGCTGATATCCTGTTATTTATTTGCAAAAAAGAAAAAGGTTTGTTTCTTGAAAATGATTCCATTTTTTGAAACTGTTGTAATATCGCTTGTCACATCAAACAGTTCAGTATTTTCTCAGATATGATCAGTTTGAGGTCTACCACCAAAACGGTTCTGCTCTCATGAAGTGAAAATATGTTTTTTTATTTGCATTCAAGTCGAAATGGTTGAGTGGCATGTAATGTGTTCAGTATAAAACAAGCAATATGCCTTGTGTTACAATTACGGGTCTCTACAGTGCAGTCATCATCCTTTTTTTGAATTGACTTTACTCACTGAGCTGATGACGTTTACTCTCAGTCTAGAACAAAAAGCCCCATCACTCTTGTTTTCATCCTATGTACTGGTGTGGCTGCGATACTGGCAGGATAGCAGAAACTGGTCATCAAAACACACTTGTGTCTAACTATAAACTGCGCCTTCACACAGGCCTGTAAAGTGATGTCCTTCTGTATATTCTCACTTGAGATAATCCCGGTTTAAGTAAGGGATTGATGCTAAGTGTGCTATTCAATCAGTGTATAGTATACAGTAAAATGTGCTGGTCCTTCTGTCTCTGCTCTGTTGTCTGTTTGTACAAAGCAATAGTGTGTGTGTGTGCGTGTGCGTATGTGTTTGTTCTCACAGTGTGTGAATAAAATAAACCCCAGACAAGGCTTTAATAATTACAGAGGAACAGGGTTATGTGGACGAGGATTTTTATTTTGGACTTTTGAAAAAAAGTATTAAAAAAAAAGGTTTTTGGAAATGCTGAGCTTGATCCATCCATAATAGGTGTAGGTTTTTAAAAAGCATGACATAATGCCTTCGACAATTCATCGGTCTGCAGAGAGCTGTGAGGCAACATTGACCAGCTTCACAGCGAGAACACGCTTTGCTATCAGTTGGGACGGCGCGGCCACGGGCCTGAGCTGAGATGAACTGAAATGAATTCAGGAGCGCAAATTGTGAAAATGAGTCTTCTCAGGGGCCATAAATTGTGAAGATCAGTGTTATGTCACGCTTTCAAAAAAAAGTTGTGCTGGAGTGTCGGTGTGTTACCCAGAATTACGAGTCAGTCGTCACATTTTTAAACAGAACTCATTTTCCAAAGCACAGCTGATAAGGATTTATGATTAAAAATACGTTTAAGAATATAGTTTAAAAAGAAGAAAAAACGAAAAGCAACTTTTAGCCATAATCGAATGTCAAGCAATAATATATGTCTGTGTATTATTTCTGATTCTTTTGTGCATAATAGTCTTTGAACATCTGCATGTAAATACACCTCTTATTTATCACTTTTTTTTTTTTTTTTTTGGTTTATTTTGTGTTGATTTTTCGTGGATGTTTTTATGTTTCATCTGTATATTTGACCAGTTCTGTTCCCAGGTGGAGAACTAAGAACTTGACATGGCCTGTATGCTGTATATCTTATTTTTCTCACTCTCTCTCTCTCTCCCTCATTCTCGGCTGTTTATTCACCATATTTAATGTTATTATTGATCACGTGTATAAAGGTAGCTTTGTTATTTCTGTCTGTATAGGTAAGAGGAAAATACTGCTACTAAGGCCTACCCAGTGAAACTATTTATCTGTTTATCAGTGACACCATATTGTACGATAACTCTGTTTCTAGTTTGCTTCCCTCCTTTAGGATTAGTTTGATAGAGATAGGGTGTGCTGACATTTATTTTGTGTTGCCCTGATGTGTGGTGCTAGGTAAGTTAATTTTGTGAACAAAGTATTGATTCCTAAGCCTGGCCGCCCTATTAGTCCATTCATTTCATTGCATATTAATGTATTATTGATATTAGGACTCAATAAATGATAATGATAATGAAAATTATAGTGGATAAAATTACCCAGCCAGCACCTGTATCAGTGTGCTCGTCTTGGGATAAGGCACTTATTTCCTTCTGACTTATAGCAAAGCTAGTATCTGCTAATTAACAAGCTATTTAAGGTTGCTTTTCTGGTTTGTGGAAAAATGATAATAATCAAACTGAAACAGCAGTATTGTGTTTTTTTCCTTTGTCTGATTGTAAAAAAACCACTCACTGAGGCTATAGTTTGTCAGGTTTTAAGATACTAAATATTTACCTCTCTTGTGTCTGCATAGTTCTTCACCTGATGCAGGGAAGTGGTGCTTGGATTTTATTAAACAGAGCCTCTGTATGCTTTTGTTATCCCCCATTTTAGACTATCCCGACACTGGTGTCTGCAGACCAGTGGCGTAAACCTCTTGCACCACATGAAGTGTTACAAATTTACATGAAAGAATTGCCATTCGAGGACAAAGTCGACCTTTTTCTCTCCACTCTGTAGCAAATATCAGTGAGAATATGCTTGCAATAATACACAACGTATCACACTGAGTGCCTCTCGGTGTAACAAGATGCATACATGGTTTCGATTGTCTTTCTTTTTTGTGTTTTTTTTCCCCACGTGTACTGAAGTGACAATGTATTTTGTACATGAGGAGGAATTCTCAGCTCTCACATGCTTCAAATGTTTTTTCAGATTCTTTCTTTATGTGATGTTAATCATTTTTCACGTGGGTTGATGCGTTTTGTTAAAGGGTTTCAATGTATAGATGGTCCGTTTAGAGTGTACCTGTCACCCCTCACCTTTGGTTTTTTTTGAGAAACGTTAACTGGGAAGTTTGTCTCATGTTGATCTTGAATGGTCAAATAAATGCTCGCAGACAATACTGCAGAAATGTTCACCTTTTTTTTCTATCAGGCAAAAAACAAACAGGCGACCCACATTTCTTCACTTTCTGTTTGTTTTATATCAACTTTTTTTTTTTTTCACTGAGATTTACTAATGCATTGTATATCGAGTAGTTGTTTGTAAAAGAGGCATACAACACATCTGGATTTCTTTAATGTTCTGTGTTCAATGTGCGCTCA